TGAGATGGTTCTGAAATTCGGGAGGGATAGATTCCAAGTCGTATTTTGGTTCCCATGGATTAGGTTTAATTTTCCTCAACTTCAGCTTGAACTTGTATATGAGTAGTTGGTGGTCTGTTTCACAATCAGCTCCTGGCCTAGTTTTCACAGCTGATATTGAGCTTCTCTAGCAGTTCTTTCCACAGATGTACTCTCTCTGCTTCTTATGCATACCATCAGGTGAAATCCATGTGTATAACCTGGTTTATGTATCTTATAAAACATATTTGCAATGAATAAGGCAGTGGTCATGCAAAATTCAGTCATTCTATCTCCAACTTCATTTCTGTCATCGAGTCCATGTTTTACAACTACTGAATCTGCTTCTCTGTTCCCAACTTTTGCATTTCAGCCACCCATTATTATCAATGCATCTTGATTGCATGTTCGATTGATCTCTGATTGTAAAAGTTGGTAGAAATCTTCTATATCCTCTTCTTTGACTCTGGTTGTTGGTGCATATATCTGAATTATAGTGGTATTCTCTGGACTTCCTTGTATGCGTATATTATCCTGTCACTCACAATATTGTATTTCAAGATGGATCCAGAAATGACTTTCTTAACTATGAAAGCAACTCCATTTTTCCTCACCTTTCCATCTCCAGAGTAATAAATCATATGATCATCTGACTCAAAATGCCCCATGCCAGTCCAACTCATCTCGCCAATGCCTAGTATGTCAATATTTGTGTTCCGTTTCGTCCTTAACAGTATCTAATTTTCCTACATTCATGGTTCTCACATTCCATGTTCCAATCACTAGTGTCTGCTTACAACTGTTCCTCTTCCTTTGTATTTCTATACTTGAAAGCTCAACCTCAGTTGTCCTTTCTTTTATTCCACGTGTGTTCTATTGTACATAGGGTTTCAGAGACCTGCTATTTCAGAAGTGGATGTTCAGATTTAGAGAAGTATCTGACAGACAAGCATTTTACAGAAAAAGTGAAAGATATATGCCTTATTGTGGAGTTAACCATTAGTTTCAGTGTTGTTCTGCCTTTGGCACAAATGTCTTTACCGAGTTATTTCCCTACTCCATCATCCACTTCTACCCACTCCCTTCAACATCTATCTCCCATTGTCCAGCCCTTGATCTGATAGCTTATATCTGAAGCTTCGGTGGCTTCTGTGATTGCAAACACATCTGCTGCTGATAGTTTCTTAAGGTGTGAGCATTGTCTTTTAAGTTTAGTGGGAATGTTTCCTGAGGAATGGGATATTCTGAGAATAAAATACCTATGCAGATTCAAAAACTCTCCAACAGTGTAAAAAGGGAAGCCACAGACTGGGGAAAAATATCTGGTAATGACATTTTTGATAACAAACTTACGTCTAGAATTTATAGAATACTTGAGCATCACAACAAGATAAAGGTAAACAACACAATCGCAAAACAGGCACAGGATATGAACAGACACTTCACCAAAGAAGACATTCAGATGGTCAACAAACACATGAAGAAATGTTCAAACTCCTAGCTCTAAGAGAGCTGCAAATCCAAACAACTATGAGATATCATCTCACTCCAGTAAGAATAGCAAAATTTAACAGAACAGCAAACAGCAAATGTTGGCAAGGTTGTGGAGAAACGGGAACTTTTATTCACTGTTGGTGGTAGTGTTAAATAAATGGTACAAACATGATAGAAGGCAGTATGGCACTTTCTCAGAAAGTTCAAACTAGAAATACCATTTGACCCATCGATTCCACTACTGGGAATATATGCACATCCGTATTTATTGCTGCTTTGTTCATAATAGCAAAGAATTGGAAAAAACCCAAGTGCCCATCAACAAAAGAATGGATAGAGAAGATGTGGTATACTCACACAATATAATACTATGCTGCATTTAAAAAGAAGAAATTCATGAAATATTATACAAAATGGGTGACCCTAGTGGACATTATGCTGAGTGAAATATCTCAGTCACCAAAGGACAAATACTGCATTATATTACAGCCATTGTTGTAAAGTGGGACTGACACTGGGGTTTGGTGAAAACTATGAAAAGAAGGGATAAATAAAGTACAATGCATTGAAACAGATGAGGGAGAGAATTCTTTAAAAGGAATATATGATTAGGTATTATTTTCATGACAAGAGTTCAGAATAAGAATTGTATAGTAAAGTGGTCTGGGGTTTGGGGGGATTGTATAACAATGAAAGAATTTATTTTTTGCTTTTCAAAGAGAAAAGTGAACTGTAGAGAAGGGTTGACAGGGAGGAAAGTGTGCAACAATGAATGAATGGAATCCAAAGTCTAAAAACTTTTATTAAAATCTAAAAAGGAAAATAAAAGAAAGAGGTATGCTTGCGTTGGTTAAAAAAAAAATTCTGGGTGACTTAAAACAAAAAAAAAAACAAAAAGAAAAGGTAAGATGGGAAAGGTAGTAGAGGGCTTGGCTCAGGCTTCTTGGCTATCAGCAAGGCCAGTGTGGAAGAGTGGGCAACTCACTCAGGCTTCAGCCTATATATGACAGGACATAAAAACAACACAAAGACTTTGCAGGCATACATTTTCCCCACTGCATGCAACTGTCAGCCTTACAGGACTCACCCAAAGCAAGCAACTGAAACAACCAGAGTGGAATTTCCTGGGTGGCAGTGCTGGGTGCTGACAGTCACAGGGCATTTTTTTTACCAATACCTCTTGAGAAGAACATCATGGTTTTGTCCTCTCCTGCCCATGTTCAAGGTCAACATCAACTCCATCTAGTGTCTGTTTCTGAAGGGTATGTTTACAAGAAGACCAATATGCATTGCCTATAGGGAGTCCTTAAGAAAGAAACCCTAGGGAGTTAGCAGGTGTTGTGCACATTACAGTTGTACAAAGTCAAAGACTCAGGTCCAAATGTGTAGGGTTTGTTCCTAGAGGCAGGTCTCCGTAGCTCACTATCCTCAATAGTAAAGTGGTTCTAGGATTTCAAAAGCTCCGAAGGAAGGCTGGGTGAAGAAAGCTGATGTGTTTTCAGGATGCAAAAGTAGGCAGCAGTAAGACCACAGAAGACCAGATGTTAGGTCATGGTCCTGGGAAACCACTGGCTGGTTAGGTCATTGGTTGAAACAGACAACACAAGGAAAACCTTCATAGAAAGTGTGGCATAGGTGCTGTTATTGGCCTGACACTGTCTATTACAGTGGCATGTGACAGGAAGCAGAAAAAAGAGGGACAGGGCCTGGCTGCTGGGGTCAGCTAGAGCACTCCCAGCTGGAGCTTCTAATCAGCCATGGTTTTGTTCTGGAGCCCTAGACTAGCCCCATCACCCTCCTTTGCCTCCTTCAGGACAATGAGAACACTCATCTTCCAGTCAAAGAATGAGCACAATGGTGCAGGAACGGAATCTTCATTGGTTTGGGAGGTGGAAATAACAGCAATACCAATTAAAAACCAATATTTCAAAGCGGCCTCTGAGATCTTGCTTTGGAAGCTGCCGACTTGACCATATGAAAGCTTAAGTGTAGTTACAATGTTAAACAGATCTACTCTTGGTGTGTTGCCATGAGGCAGAGAACTAATTTCTCTGGGCCCATATCTTGGTTGTAGATTACAGCACCTACCTTACAGAGCTATGATTAAGTCTGACAAATTTAGAGTCCGGTGATCTAATTCAATGTTGTTATTGTTGTTGTTGTTGTTATGTGCCGTCGAGTCGCCTGCGACTCATAGCGACCCTATGTACAACAGCCCTAAACTCCGCTCTGTCCTGTGCCAATCGCACTGTCTCTGACACTCCCATCCCAATTATCCCAGTCACTGAATCAATCCACCTCATAGAGGGCTTTCCTCTCCTGCGCCGTCCCTCCACCCTCCCAAGCATGATGTCCCTCTCTAAGGACTGGCCTCTCCTCACAACATGTCCAAAGTAAGTTAGACAGAGCCTCAGAATCCTTGCCTCCAAGGAGCCACCCAGTTTAACCCTCTCCAGGACAAATCTGTTTGTTTTCCTAGCAGTCCATAGTATTCTCAATACTCTTCTCCAGCACCACAGCTCAAAGGCATCAATTCTCCTTCTATCCTCCTTGGTCATTGTCCAACTCTCTGATGCATAACAGGTGATTGCGAAGACCATGGCCTTAGTCTCCAGAGAGACACCACTGCTCTTCGGCACTTTGGAGAGGTCCCTAACAGCAGACTTTCTCATGGCAATGAGCCTTTTAATTTCCTGGCTGCTGGTGCCAAGACTGTTGACTATGGAGCCAAGCAAACTAAAGCTGTGTACAATCTCAATCTCTTCACCATCCATCCCGATGCTGCCAATTGGTCAAGTGGTGAGAATCTTTGTCTTCTTGACATTGAGCCTCAGTGCATATTGTATGCTGCAGTCCTTGACGCTCTGCAGCAGGCGCTTCAGGTCCTCCTCAGTTTCAGCAAGCAGGTTTGTGTCATCCACATAACGCAGATTGTTGATAAATCGTCCACCAATCTTGACCCCACATTTCTCCTCATAGAGCCCAGCCTCCCGGATAATCTGTTCGTACATTATAGTATAGTATATGTATTATAATTCAATGTATGTGCTAGAAAATGACACTTCTCCTTGTTAACAAAGGAAGAAAGATGTCTTAAAGGGTCTTAACTGGCCAAGTAAGCACTAAGGAGCCTTGATTAGAAGCTTGTCAAAGTCTCTTTCTAGTCTGGCAACAGAGGCCAGGGAATGTCACTCCACCTAATAGGTAATAAATGTCCTTCTTGCTCTAGGAGGTGTTACCCAAATACCAGAAAAACACTCTTTGGGCTCTCAAGGCTTAGTTCAGAACTATTTAAACTGGTGATGGGCAAGCAAATGGGTGGCTCCTCCTGCAACCTCAAAACACATCCAACATGCTTTCAGAAGAACTTTCACCACAACCTTTCTGGAAATGGAAAGAAAAACAATATGGGACTGATCTAAATGAAAATTGATAAGAATACCTGAGTTAGAGCTAATTGCTGACTAAGCATCATGTATTGTTAATACCTTCAGAGTTACGCCAATCACATTGAGGGCTTCTTTCACCTGCAGACTGCTTGTACAGCAGGCAAGTTCTTCACAAATCCAGACTCCAAGAGAGCAAACGGCAATGCATCTTTTTTAAAAAAGAAGGAGATATATGAAAAGTCATGAAACTTAAGATATTTTCTAAAGACAAAATATTTGAATACTATTAAATGAAATAGCAAAACTTACATTCATGTCTCACTGAGGAAACAGATGGAGAGCCATTAAGTATCATTAAAAACAAAAAGAAATCTTGATAACTACTAATACTTAACAAATCAAACAGCATACTGTTGAAATTATTCCATATTTTTATTGAAATTAGCATTTATTATACCAAGACATATTTGGAGTTCTAGTGGCCAAATGGTAAAGAAGCAGTGCTACAATATCAGAGGCATGTGGTTCAAATTTACCAGCTGCTCTGCAGATTTACTGCCTCTGAAAACCCACTAGAAGGTTAGCTATGAGTTGGTTCTGACATGACAGTAAACAAAAATAAAACATTTTTGAAGAAGCGTAAAAACTCCCATGAGTCTTAGAATGCTGCTGCTGTTTTCAACTGAATTTATAATTGTTTTTCTTGAAATAAGACAAAATCTATCATAAACTTAAAACAAACCCTATATATTGTTTCTCATTTGCTTAACAAAGAATTATTGATTACCTAGTAGCTCACTGGATACAATCCAAAGGCAAATGGCTTGAACACACCAGTTGCTCTGAGGGAGAAAGACAGGCAATCTTCTCCCATGTGGAAACTTGCTGCCTCTGAAACTCACTGGAGGATCATTTACGAATAGGTTCTGACTCAGTGGCAGTGATATTGAGCTACATGGTGGACATAAACTCCACACAGTATGGCATTTTATTGCACTTTATTTATTTCTTAAGTTTTATTATGATTTGAAGTTTACAGAGCTGGTTGGTAATCCATTCAGCCGCTCATATTATTTTACCTATGACACTGATTACACCCCTCATACTATACCATCACTCTTCCCACTGCCTTTCTGTGGTTCTTATCTCTCCTCAGTCCTCTGTCTTTCTCCTGTCTATCTTTTGAGTGTTCTCCTTGGACAATGTTACCCTTGTGATATGTGGGAGTTGAGTGTTCTAAGGGTCTAGAGCTTCCCTGGTGTTACTGGTCATCTTAGATCTATTGTTTGGCAGAAAGTTGTGCCACACGGTCACTTCAGTTCCATTAAGGGCAACTAAGATCCATAGTCTCTAGGGTTTCCCCAGTCCCATTCAGATCAGTAGGCCTGGCTGTTACTGTGACTTTCAGTTTTTCATATTTACCTCTCTGTTCAGGACCCTCTACTCTGCACGGTTAGTTAACACTCAGAGTGGTCAGCAGTGGGCACAGAGGAATCATTAGGTTCTTTGGGTCTGAAAGTTGTGGAAGTTGATGATCACAAGGTTCACTGGTATTATGGACTGTTCTTATAGGTTCGGACAGTGAGTAAGAATGGCCAAGTTGGGGTGCTGAGAGCAATACTAAATATCCATGGATATCGCCAAAAGAACAAACCAATCTGTCTTGGAAGAAGTGCAGCCAAAGTGCTCCTTAAGAGTCAAGGATGGTGCAATGTCTTCTTATATACTTTAGGTATACTGGAAGAAGCTAATCCTTAGAGGGGAAAGGCAAGTTGGGGAAGATGAGGGTCAGAGAAAGAAAGGAAGACCTTTATCAAAATGGACTGACAAAGTGACTGTCGATCATGTCAGAGACTCTGAGGATGGTGCAGAATTGGGCAAGGTGTTGCTGTTCATAGAATATAAGTCACAGTTGACTAGAGAGCACATAATAATAACAAAACCAACATTTTGCTCCAGACAAGGAGAGGCCAGTGGTTGTACCTCAGATGGCTGTTTGTAAGCTTTTCAGTCCTCTGTCACTGCCTCTCAACAATGACTGTAGCAGATTGCCCTTGTGGACTGTTATGCCATAACCCACTCCCTCGGAGTGCTGGGTTATTATTGTTAATAGGCTGATGTGGTATTTCCACTTGTTGGCTATCTACATTGGCATATTTTCTACACAGACAAATATATATGTTCAAAAGTCATCTACCAATCCTAAATCGACGTGACATGGCTACTTGCTGGTCCTGCGTCTACGTGGAAATATGTGCAGCACACACAGATATTCATGCTTGGCCCCATTCATGATGGCAAACAAACACATGAATACATGTCCAAAATCCCTAGCTCTAAGAGAGACGCAAATCAAAACAACTATGAGATATCACCTGCATTTCACCTCAGTAACAACAGTCAAGATGAACAGAGCAGCAAAGAATAAAGGCTGGTGAGATTATAGAGAGATTGGAACATTTATTCACTGCTGGTGGGAATGTAAAATGGTGCAACCACTAAGGAAGGCAGTTTGGCACTTTCTCAAAAAGTTGGAGATAGAAATACCATTTGCCCCAGCAATGCCACCACTGGGAATATACCCTAAGGAAATCAGAACTGCCACCCAGACAGATACCTAAACACCCATCTGGAGTCTTTACAGTATAGGCCTAGTGTACAGCAGCACCACTATGTGGCTGGAGTTGGCCCCACTTAGCTTAGAAGTGAAAGTTGGGCACTCTTGGTCCTTACATACTGCTTGCTGTCCACTGATCAACCCCCAGCCTTCGGGCCCCTGTTCACCACAGCTATGCCATGCATCTGCATAGAATGCCTTAGCTACAATGTGAAAAGTACATCCAACGATTTTTCAGTCACTACAGCTACCTCCTGGAAAACGTCAAGAATGGATATAAGTTTGTGGAGTTGGAGGACTCCCATGATGCCAACTATGCTGTTACAGAGCTTCCGTGAGCATGTGATCTAGGAGCATACCCGGGCCAGGATCCTGAAGGCTATAGCTGCTGATGCTGCAGTGCTAGAAGTGGATACAGCAGTCAAAGAACTTCAGGAAAGGACAAATACAGACCACCTGCTCGTACAGAGTACCAACTTATGGCAGACAATCTTTCTAGTTGTTGCAGTTGTGAAGATTTAAAGGATTTCTTAAGTCAAACAGGTGAAGTGACTTACGAGGATGCTCATAAAGAACATACAAACAAAGGCGTGTTTGAGTTTCGTTCCTACTCTGACATGAACTGTGCTTTAGATAAACTGGATGGTACAGAAATAGATGGCAGAAATATTAGGCTTACTTGAAGAAGCCACAGAGAGTCTTACTCTGGAAGCTGATCTAAGTCTCAACCTAGAAGAAAGTAATGAAGTAAGATTTGCAAGAGCAGTAGCAGCGGATCTGAAAGTTTCTGAAAAAGTTGCTCCACAAGTGACTCCAAGGCAGAATGGGAAGTCTTTGCCTGTGCAACTTATAGTCTCAGAAACTGGCTAGATGGTCAACTGTAAGTTGGTTCTAACTCGACAGCAATGACTTTTGAATTGGGGTACAGTGGTAAGCAACCGAGATGGCCCCTCAACTCAATATGATGAGGAGCATATTAAACAAAGACATAAACGGAGCGGGGGGTAAAATCTGGTCCCGAAAGTTTATCACATTCTCCATCAAAGGGCAAGAAATACAAGAGGAAATCTAAGCCCAAATCTGAAAAGGGCTTTGGAAGCAGACCTAAGGATGCATATGGGAAGTTTCCAAGCAGATTTTATTCTCAATTTCATTCTCCCAAAGAAAACAACAAAGGTGATAGACAGCAAAAATGCAGATCATAGAGCTAGTCTCGGTCTACCCCTGCTCCAGTCTCAAAGATTTGTTCTGTGTTCCATCCACCAAGTATCTTCCTCCGTGAAAAAGTCTTTCCATGTCTTTTTCCCATTTTGTAACTGTGTTATCAGTCTTTTTCTGTGGACACCCTGTCGGGTTCTATAAATTTTTTGATAGGAGGTCTGAGATGGTACTGCCATATGTTTTTTACCCAGGCAATAGGTTTTCTTTTACTTTTGTTGGCAAATATTTTTATGTACAGGGATTTAATCTTTTCATTAATTTTATCCTCCCCAGATTGTGCATTTCTGGCTGCATTTGGCAGTATCTTTATACCATAGACTAGACCATCTAATCTTGATCCCAGTTTGTCTCTGATGAACTTTATGGTTTGGGGCTTTACTCTCAGGTCTCTGATCTACCTTGAGCTGATTTCTGTGTATGGTGTGAGACGTAAATCCTGTTTCAGCTTTCTGCAGGTAGCAGTCCAGTTCTGCCAGTACCATTTGTTGTAGAAGTTGTCATTATTTCCCCATTTTACAGGTTTTATTTTCTTGTCGACTATCAGATGACCATAGGTAGCTGGGTCCATTTCTCAGTTCTCAATTCTGTTCTATTGGTACACGTGCCTGTCACTGTACCAGTATCACACTGTTCTGGTGGTCCTTTTTTAGAACTGACATACTCTACTACTTTTTCATAATGGTATAAAAATAATTTCCCTCTCTAAAATTTTCTTTTAAAGTCACATTTAAAATTAAAATACTTGCTCCAAAGCCTATTCACTTTCAGAACACTAAACACACTGTTCAGCTGATATGATTCACAGCAACCTTGCAGGAGAGCAGAGAACTTTCCCACAGAGTTTACAAGGTGGTAAATCTTTATGGAAGCAGACTGTCCAACCTTTTTCTTGGAGTTGCTGGTAGGTTCTAACCCCCCACCTTTCACCTAACAGTCAAGAGCTTAACAACTGAGCACACTGGATTCCTTTTTAAAATTAGGATAAAAAGAATTCAAACAACTACTTGAAACATATACTAAATTTGGTCTTAGGTATATAATCCATATCTGTTATTTTTGTGTGTGTTCAGAGGACAAATCCAATCAACTTATACAGAAACTCAATATCCAAAGTTCCTTTGTATTTAATATCATTCAGCAAAATTAAAAGCAATGCATTTAGAGTCTGTTCTGCTGTATGCATTTTCACAAAAATTGAAATTTGTAATTTAAAAAATCCTGTATTTCAAGATTTTCATTCGGTTTCATTGGAGTCTCACCTCTTCAATCAGAACAGGTGAATTGTTTCACATAGTTTATCTACACCAGGGAACTCTGGTGGCTTTTTGTGGGAATGAGATACAGTGCCAACCAAAAAGGCAGGTGGTTTACATACACCAGCTATTCCACAGGAGGAAGATGGGTACTCTACTCTTGTGTTATTTAAAGCCTCTGAAAATCTCCTAGGGAATCAGCTATGAATTGGTTCTGACTCAACAGCACATAACAAAATATTAACAACTTATTTGCATAAGTGAAAATCCCATGTGGATCACATTTCCTTAGTTGATGTCACTTTGTAAAGGTAGAGCACCTCAGATAAGTTGTGCCACCATTACACAGGAGTTCCATATAATTTTAACCTATGGCTTTCTTACAGGCTTAAAATTCTCTAAATCTCTCTCTGCTTTGCTTACTCCCTCCTTTATTCCTTAATCTAGAAATTACACTTTATGCTTCTTACATTCCATATATTCTGTATTCTTTCAGAAAGTTTCTCTATTTTTGCCCAGCATGATTCATACTATGAGCATTCAAACCATTAAAATCTATACAATTTGGAAATATACCTAATATCATATTTTCACCAGTCTTCTTCTTTTTTTTAGTCCTTTTCTTTGGGTAGGTGTAAGTGTGCATCTCACAATTCAATGAAAAAATGGAAATGATAAACATTTAGAATTAAATGATAAAAATATCACATATCATGATCTGTAGCATTAAAATAAAGGAGTACCTAGAAATAAACAGATACAGGTATCCTGCTTTTGAAATTTCATTTTACACCACTGTACTTTAATCAAAGATCTACATTAACACGTGCATTTGCTAACCAAAAGAAATCAATTTCACTTTTATGAAAGGTGGCAAGCAAAACCAGTGTTCAGCATTTGTTTTGAGCAGGTACATTGGCGTTGCCAAGCTACTTTTGTGGAAACTATACTCTGTATCATTCCATCATGCCTTCGAAATGTGCTTGTGAATACTACAGGGTAGTGCAATTTTAGGTTTTATGTTGGGTACGATTTGGCAAATTATTTTTAGGATCTGGAAACAGTAAAAATAAAATTGTGATATAAACTAAAGGCAAGTGCTTTTCTCTTTATGTCATCCCAGCTTAAGAAAAGTTTTCATAGGCATGCCCTACTTTCAAATATCCAAGGAAACCTGTAGCTGTGAATGTTTACATTCATAAAGAAGAAAAGCCAGAATGAAAACAACAAGTATGCAGTTTAAGAAATATTAAAAGAAACTACAAGCCAAACGTAAAACAAGAAAATAATATTCACTCCCTAAACAACATATCTCTGGAAACTCTATGAGCTTTGATAAAGGGCAATAGTTATAGAAAGGCTTCAGGCCTTTTGTTCATAGGGTTGCTATGAGTTGTGCTCAACTCAACGGCAATCAACAACAAGAATAATATAAGAGAAAGTAGGGAATAAAACCAATTACTGAATAGAGAAGCTCAAACAAAGATAAATCCATTTTCAAATAAGATGACAAATTCTTGGCAAGACAATAAGAAAAATAAGAGAATTCACAGAGTATCAAAAACTAAAAAGTAAATATAATTACAAAAGTGACAGAGATAAAAATAATAAGAGGATTATACAAAAATAAATATACCTGTATACATAAAAATCTGAATGAAGCCCTGGAGTTACTGTGAGTAAAGTTAACCAAAAGCCTGTGGTTTGAATCCCCTTAGTCATGCTGTGGTAGAAAGATCAAGCAGTCTGCTTCTGTAATCATTTAATTTAACAAAAATTATTTTTTAAAAAAGAGAAAAATCAGCAAAGAAAACAAATCAGGAGTTAAGATTCTCAGAACCATATTATTTTATCATCTAGGTTTTTGCAATCACTTGTTATGCATCAGAGAGTTGGACAATGACTAGAGAGGATAGAAGGAGAGTTGACGCCTTTGAGCTGCGGTGCTGGAGAAGAGTATTGAATGTATCATGGACTGCCAAGAAAACAAACAGATCTATCCTAGAGAGGGTTAAACCAGGCTACTCCTTGGAGGCAAGGATTCTGGGGCTTCGTCTGACATACTTTGGACATGTTGTAGGGAGAGACAGGTCTTTAGAGAGGGACATCATGCTGGGTAGAGGAGAGGGACAGCGCAGGAGGGGAAGACCCTCTATGAGGTGGACTGATTCAGAGACTGGGGTAATCGGGATGGGTGTGTCACAGGCAATGCGATTGGCACAGGATAGAGCAGGGTTTAGGGCTGTTGTACATAGGGTCACTATGAGTCGCAAACGACTCGACGGCACATAACAACAACAACAGGTTTGCTAAATAGACAAAAAATACCAACTATACTTTTACAAAAACTTCTCCTGACTAAAGAAAATGAAACTCTATTCAATGCATTTTCTGAGACCAGAGAGCCTGTGATTAAATCTGATAAAGACGAGAAAAAACTGCAGTTGAAACCAATGCAACTTCTTCCCCCCAAATATTAACCAAACTAGTTCTAGACCTATGTAGACCAAGTTTATCCTCAAGATCAAGGTTAGTTTAATATTAGAAAATGCATTATGAATTTATAACTTTTGGTAATTAGGGAGCTCTGGTGTCCTAGTGGCAAGAAGCTGTATTGCAATTCTGAAGGCACATGATTCAAATCCCATCAGCTGCTCTCCTCCCTTGCGATTGACTGCTTCTGAAAACCTACTGGAGGGTCAGCTATTAATTGGTTCCAACTCGATAGTACACAACAATAACGAAAAATTATGTAATTTAGACTAAGAAATTACATGATGATAAATGAAGACGTCTCTTAACTATATTTGTATTTTCTCTAAAAATATCCAAATAGTTAAATGCGTTAATGAGGCAAAGTGAAGAGAGACAAGCTGCTATCTTGGGATAAGATAAGAGAGGGAAAAGGTGGAGCTGGGCTTCAGGTAACCTACAGGGCTGGAACCTGAGGATCAAAGGGAAGGCAGAACTTTTTTATCATGTAGGTTGTCCAGAAGAATCTCAAATCTTAGTTGCAGACTGATAGCAACTTCAAGTCCCTGCAAGAGGTAACCAAAATGTCTCCAGATACTGCCAGATGTTCCTTAAGGGACAAATACCACCTCTCATTGAAAATCACTATCCTACCGTTACACAGAGTTACACATTTTTATTAGTTTTGGGCTTGTCTTTCCATTTTCTTGCTTACTGAAAATATTTGGGAATATATACACATATACAATCGTAATTTTCCTTATACACACAGAAGACAGTATATACTACATATGTGTGTGTACTATTTTCACTTAATGATATCATTTGAAATAACTGAGTTTTTTATGACATAATTCATATTATATTTTCTAGTGTAAGAGTAGGGGTCTCTGGTGGCCTAGGGTAAGAATCTGTACAACAATCCCAAAGGCACGCGGTTTTATTCTGTTAGCTGCTCTGCAGGAAAAGGATGGGCAATCTCCTCCCATGAGATTACTGCCTTTGAAAACCAACTGGTGGGTTGATTCCGACTTGATGGTACACTAAAGAGTAATAGGGAAACATATGTGTTCCTTAAGTGTAAAGATATGTATATCTAGGTAGGAGGAACTTAAACTCTTTCCTCTTTTGCGCCACCTTGTTCGAGACCTCCGAATCATGTGGGCCAAGTGGAGGAAAAAGCAAATGTGCAGGCTGAAGCGTAAAAGAAGAATGATGAGGCAGAGGTCCAAGCAATGTGAGCGTGTGCACCTGCAGACGCCACAGCGGCAGGAGCAGAGAATGCCACACGCTGGGGATGCTGAGACGAATTAGACTGCATGCTGCTGTCTAGAACTTCTGACTCAAGGGATCTAGAAAGTCTATTGCCATTCAATTGCCACGAACTCCTCTGAGAGGCCCAGTTCCCTCCTTTGAAACCAGGCCCTTTTGATCTGTTGCCCTGGACCTGTGATATTCTGGACTAACTCTGTCTAGTTGTGAGTGGGTATCATGTGCACAATAAATCATCTCTTCTGTCTTAGCCGAATATTTAAAAAAAAAAGAAGAAAATAAATGTATATCTAAAATTAATTTAACTTCTATTCAACATTTACCTTGCACATTCATTTGGCTCCTCCTTGGCATTCTTCAGTAATATACTTATGAGGTAATGCTGAAAAATACAAACGAAGTAAAATAAAATCTTAGTCTCCTAATTGATTTCTCACACATTATAGTGTGTTCCAGGCAGCCAAGAGCTCTTCAATGACCATGGAGCTTGGCAGGTTTTTCTAGGGAGAAGGCAAGAGTCTGGACACACAAAGCAAGAGGTCGGGGTCAGTAGGATGGGTTTCTCAGCAACGGAGTCATCACAGACTACAGTATATTTGTGTAGACAATAACAACCTAGCATAGCAAATGAAATTCCCATGTAGATGAAGCCCAGTTCTTTCTCACTTTAATGGAAACATCACGCTCTGATGGCACAATGTGCTAACAAAAGGCTGGCAGTTAAAATCTACCACTTTGCTCCATGGGAGAAAGACAGGCATCTGGAAGGATTTAGAACAGCTGCCGTGAGTCAGAATTAGCTCAGAGGCAGTGAGTTCTGATTCAGTTTATCAATCATATATTTTTGATAAGACAGATTCTGAGGTTTGAAATAATTTTTGATTGCCACAAAATCAATAGAGGAAAGAAAAGATTTGCATTATATATACTCTTCAAAAATAATTTGGAATTTCAAATTATTAAAAGCATAAAATTAAACCAAGAGTGGGACTGAACAATTATCTTTTGTTCAGTTAACTTGATTTTCTAAAGCAGCATGATTAGTCTAGTGAAATTAATGCTGACATATAACTGCATAATGATAACAAGAAAGAGAAACAGATTTGTAAAGATTTTAAAAAACAAGTATCATTTTTAAAATCGTATACATGAATACCTCCTACAAACAATTAGTTAAAAAGTTAAGATATACAACAGAATTTCAAGGATGTGAAGATTAATATATAAATAGCTATAACACAAAATGCTGAAGTTGATATTTAGTAATGTGAATGACCTTGATATCTTTGGTTCTTGTGATGACTTCATCAGTTTCCAGCATTGACTGCAGTACTGTGGTCTGCTGGTAAGTGTTTGGAAAGCATACAAGAGAACCAAGAATGGTAAGGGCTTCTGAACGGGGGGCCTAGTGAAAAGAAAAAAAAAAAAGAAAGAAAGAAAACTTTTTAAGATAGACATTTCAGATAAGGAACAAATGATTTTCCCCTAGGTGGATATTTAAGTAAATGATGTTTACTTAAATACAAAGCATATATCTAAGGAATGGAAAAAAAAAAGCTGTACCCTTGGAAATACAGCATTGCAAAACTGTATAACGATGCTTTAAAAAAAGACAAATACAGATTTTTTTTAAAAAAAGGCAAATGATCTGGTTATTACTGTTAACACACACACACACACACACACACACACACAAATAGGGAGCTCTGATGGCCTAGTGGTAAGGAGGTGTGCTGTCAACCCAAAGGCATGTAGTTTTAGTTTATCAGCTGCTCTATAGAGAAAGATGGGCAATTGCTTCCCATGCGATTTATAGCCTCTGAAAACTGGTTTGTTCTCCTGAGTCTATGGTATATTCAGTACTCTTTTCTAGCACCACAGCTCAAAGGCATCAATTCTCCTTCTATTATTCCTAGTCATTGTCCAGCTTTTTGATGCATAGTAAGTACTGTGAAGACCATGGCCTGGATCAGGCACACCTTAATCTCCAGACTGACATTGTTGCTCATCACTACTTTGGTGAGGTCCCTAACAGCAGATTTTCTCAATGAAATTTGTCTTTTGATTTCCTGACTGCTGGAACCAAGAGCGTTGATTGTGGAGCTAAGAAAACCCAGAGAACCATTAATAATTTTAAATCTCAAGTTTAAGCTGAAAGAAGAATTCAATGAATTTCAAAGTTTCTGTGACTTTATTTAATTCTTTATACTTGCATTTTCTTTTTCATAGTTTCCTTTTCTCTTTATTTTGTTTTGAAAACTGTTTTGGATGGCTACTTTCATTAAGAAAACCAAAATAAATTTTTCCAGAGAACACCCACCATTTAAGGAGAACCTCTGGAATGAACGTTAGCTTTTTATACGTAACCCTCTTTATCAGTAATGAAAATTGGACATAAATGTTGTTAACTTTCATTCAAGGTATTTTTTTCCATGTTTATTTGAACGGCTAATAGAAATTGAGGACTCTCTGCCATTCATTTTCTGATAACCTAAAGACTGAAAAGTTGGCATTTCTTTACAAATCTGTTATTTTTGTTAAGAGCCATCAAGTCGTAGATGACTCACCAACCCTATGAATAAAAGACCTGAATACCTGTATAACTTTCATCTTTTCTCCAAGTTCATAGGGTTTTTGGGAGCAAGCTATTTTGTAAGTGGATGCCACTCCTGCTTCCAAGCTTGTTTCAATTCGGGAGCTCCACCAAACACTGTCCACCATGGATAACCATTATCACATTTGACACATCAGGTCACAGTGTTGGACAGAATTTAAATTTTATAGGAACTGGTTGGCTGAGTTTTGATAGAGGGATACAAAACTAAAGCAAATTCAACATTTTCTTCTCTTTTTCCATGCTGCTCTCATTCTTCCCTTTTGCTATCTCTTCCATTACATATGTGAAAATTTTTGAGCATGAACATATCAACATGATATACTAGCTGTAAAAGTAAATATAAAAAGTAAAATAATTTTCTTTTTCCATGCATAAAAGTAATAAGCATTGTGTGTCAAACCATGTACCAAACAAAATTTGAGTTGCTAGGTCACATGCTGATTTCAAAGCTAGTCTTTGGCCAACAGTAAGGTTAATTTACTCACATGATTTGAAGGGGGGGGGAAACCAATCTGAATATACCAACTGTATAGAACACAATAAGAAAAATGAAACCAAAAGCAACTTCCTGCTAGTAACTTGATTCTGACTACTGGTGACTCATTGATGTTAATGTTATTGAGTCAATTATAACGTTTTTTCCTTTTTTTATTATTGTCATTACATTTTATTAGTTTTAATGAACATTTACAGAGATTTTGGGTTTTCATTCATTCATTGTTGCACTGTTTTCTCCACCCTCCTCCCCAGATCATTCTTCTTCCCCCCCATGTCTGTTTTATTTGTCCAATTGCCACAATGCTTGTCAAAGCCAGTTCTGAGTAATCTCCTTTGTCAGTGTGTCCCTTGCCATTCCCTATCACTCCTCCCTGAGAGAGACTTCACCCTGATTCATAAGGAAAAGGGGATGGCGTATTCCCTTAGCTACTTCCTGCTGAAAAGGGACGCT